AATAACATTGGGTCAATGACAGTGATGATGAAATCATGTTCAAATATTAAGTTGCACACATTCTATGTTACTCTACATTTTCTCTAACCTGGACATCCATATACAAAAAGAGCCCCCTCCAAATAACTCATTCCAATAGAGATAGCAGAACTATAATTTTGATGTTTATTTTTCAGAAAATAAATACAGCACTATCACAAAACTTTAATCCAGCATTTAAAAAGTATTATTTAAAAAGTATTATCTAAAAACATGTGAAATAAGATCCATGCCTGCATTGTTGGTATTCAGAAAACTTGTGAAAATTTTGTTATTTCAAGTATCATTTTGGGACTAAGGTAGATGTGGTTGATTGTACTGGGATGACTGAATTATGATTATGTATTTGGTAGATGATGATTAATGCATGATTATTATTTGCATTATATTTTATATTATATTTTTGTGAGTGCTTAGAAACAGAACAAATTGAGTGGCATAATAGCATCAGTAAATAAGCTAGTATAAATATTAAGTAAGAATAAAAAAATAAACTTGGTTAAGTCTTTCCTTAAGGAATAATCAGACTATTCAATTCATTCAAAATTGCAGCTGTTATTAGATTCCCCAGTAGCTGAATTCCATAATTCCATAAATTCTAGTGCTTGGTTAAATAAGTCTTCTGAAATCCCAGTTTCCAGTATGAAGCGGTATGTATGTTTGACACCTTTAGGTTCTATTTTGGAAACTGCCATTTCCATCTTTTTCACCGAAATCTCACTTTCAACCTACTTGGGCAGTAGATCTGTCCGAAATCTAGCATATATAAAGAATGAGGAGGGGAGCTGTCAAGGGAACTCTGACCATAAACATTACCAATAAAACATTCAAAAACTTCTAAATTAAATATGAGATGGGTGAACAATTCCTACATGCTGAAGAAAAGAATATTTTTCTCACTTTGTGCCATCTTTAGAGGTATTTGAAGACACTGAAAAATTCTCACCACTATTTCAGTCTGAGACAAAAATTTATCATTTGTTTCTTTTAGATCTGGCATCATAGCAATCATATCATACTGATGCTGTTTGTACAAGAAAGCAGTGAGCAAAGTGTTCACCACTTCCAAGTATATACATACTTCATTCCTAAGGGAAGATGGCAACCATAACAGCGCAAACACCATCCATTTGTACATGTGTGTGATATCAAAACACTACAAAACACTACAAAAGGATGGGGCTTCAATTGTGCTGTTGCTGCTGCCATCTTGCCTGTTTTAACACCCCTATGGATGCTGATATGAGGAATCCCTGTTGGTATTTAGAATACGCCAAGTAATTCTCTCAGCCCAACTCACTTCACAGGGTTGTTGTTGTGAAGAAAATAGGAGGAAGGAGTATTAGTATGTTTGCTGCCTTGAGTTGTTTATAAAAAAATAAAGGTGGGATTTAAAAAAAAAATCTAATCTAAAAAAATTCACAAATCAGGATATTTCCTAAGAAATCAAGCATAATTCCTATCATAGCAAAACTAGAAATAATCACTCTATTTTTTCATTTACAGAAATGCTGATGCACAGAATATGACAGATCTGAGACAGAAATTATTAGTGGAATGGAAGAGGAACCTAGAGTGGAACAATATATGGAAAACATCAGATCTCTAACTGAACTAAGAAAAAGGAAAGACAAGCTATAACAGAAAGGACAAGAAAGAAGCATGAATAAAATTTCTTAACTTCATAGAAACCAGGCTGAACCTATCTGATGAAAAAATATAACAAGCTATACAAAACATTCTTATTGGCTGTATACTACATGAAAAGTCAGCCTTTAAAAAGGCCATAAAATGCTTTTTTTTCCCTGCAAGTTTAATTACTTTTAGCAGTAGAACTTTGAAAGCAACATATGATGTGAACATGATACTATTTTACACATTTACTATGAACAATAATTTAAAACTGGCTAAAGATATCCTTTGTTTTCCTCAATCACAACTGAGACATGATATAAAAATGAAATATCACTGCACTTCCTTTTCTGCAAAGCATATAGAAATAAAAGTTGCCTAGTGTTCCAGAACAGATCCCAAAAAGCAAGATAGTCAGCACTTTTATTATTTTTCTCCAAAAGTTTTGAAAAAAATTGATTTAATTAACTGCACAGAATGCTAATACTCTTTAAAATATTTATACGTTATTTTTTTTAAAAAAATGTGTTGGTATAGCATATGTATAAACAGGATAAGTGTTAAACCAACTACTTTGGATTATTGTAACTGCTTTTTTTTAGTTTATTTTCAACCTCTATCCTTTGTACTGGTATGGTACAACCTTGAATGTTTCTAGAAGACTCAAGAACACGTGTAAATATCTTTCTTTGACGTGATCTATTATGGAGGACAACTGTTTCTGAAAATTGTTTTACAATTTAGATACAAGGCAGGGAAAAAGTCCTTTAAAAAATACTTTTGTATACTACATTCAAAAGGGCATTTCTGAATAGGACATGTTTATCAGGTTTGGCCTGGCACTGGAAGCAAATTGTTTAGACATATTACATTGAAACAAAGGTAGACAAATCTCCAGATGTTTTAGATTACAATTCCCATAACTCTGATTCCTGCTCACGCTAGCTCCATGTTGCTTACCTCTCCACTATAATATAAAAAGGATCCTGCAGCTTCTGAATCTTGGTAGAGTAAGCCCTTTTCTTAGCAACCGGTTGCAACTCTATGGGGAGCCAATCTCTACAGGATATACTAGTGTATGTTCTAAATATCAGAAAGTCAAGCAACTAAATAAAAAATACTTTTAATACTTGAGTGCTTTTAAGCCTTTGTTCACTCCTTATATTACTTGAACTATTCCTCAGCCTTAATACAATGCATTCTTCAAAACTGATGAAGCACTTAATCACTGCACAGCAAATTCAAACCATACCCAGAGGCAGTACACATACAAATTTTACTGGATGAGGAGCAAACCTTTTTAAGGAATCTAATCTGACCTGCCACTAAGCAAGTCATCTTATGAAATTATGTTTTCAATTAATTTCTGGATAAAGCTGTAATAAATGTAACTACTCTGATACATTCAAGAATATGAATTGCCAAAAAATTAAGTCAAACCTAGGGTCTTGAAGCAATACTGTGTCAGCGGGCAGGGGAGGATTCTGAAAATCTCTGGAAAATTCTACAGAATAATTTGAAATTGAAAAAGAGGTGGTCAGAAGACACCCTTTTTCTTAATTTTAACTAGATCCCTCACTTCCATAATTGCCACTATTTTGCATCTGTTAGATCAAATTAAAAAGAAATTCTAGTTTATTTAGCAATCCTCGGTATGAGAATATGAGTACTGACAATTCATACTGCAAGGAACCAAAAACATTTTAATCCTTAAATAGAACCATTAAACTTTAAGGGAGTTGGCAGCATATAGGTTTTTCTAAATTAAAAAATAATGTGGACATACATGAAAAACCACCTAGCGTTCTGTTATCCAGTGCAAGAAAGAGGCAGGAATTTTGTTGCTCTTGCATTCTCAGTAACTTTGTTGTTGATAGTAAAGTTGGAAGACTTCGTTGGCTGACTGACTAGAGTCTTCCTTGACTGTTGTTCTAGAGAAGCATCTGATTCGTCTTAGCCATACAGAAACTAAAAGGCAGAAATCTGGCAAATTCAATTTTTGATTTAGGCCACTAAAGCCAAGCAAAAACTGGACAAAGTTACTCACAACTAGTCAGTGAAGAATAATATTAAGAACTGAAGTTTAGCACAAACACCATGTGAAATTCTACATTTTAACTTTATTTATATGGAAAGTATAACAGTTAGGAAAAAAGGAAACTCTCTGTCAAGCTTAACTCTTGGCAACTTCCCATAAAATGGAAAACTGTTCTGAATTCCCAATTTAGACTACAGCCTTGATATTTCCTGGAGGTCTTCCATCCAAGTATTTGTCAGGTCTAATCCTGTTTAGTTCCCAAACACTAAGACATATTTTAGATCTCTAGCCTAAAAAAATAAGTACCCTCTCTCTCTCCCATACACTCACAAAGATTCATAGGTTCTCACCAAAGCATTCTACCTGGTCCTTTTCATTATTAAGTTTAACTATAGCAGTTCATATGTAACTTTAAGGTCAAAAATTGAAGTGCAAAATGCAGAAGAACAGCTGCCAATAGCATCTACTGTCCAGGGAGAAAAAGCAGGCGTAAGAAACAATGCATTCTTACGCTAAAGAAACAAATTATTTATCAACCACCATTATGTGTTATTCAGGCGGGAATATATCATAGGCTTGGAAGAGTCCGTGGTGATAATCTAATTCAGGGATATTAATCTAATTCAGCCAAATGCATGCTCTGCAGGGGTAAATGATGAGGAATAACCATGATGCAAATGTCACAACTTATATACTTGTGTCCAACTTTGGAGTGCAAGTATATAATGGCAGCATTTGCATGGTGACATTGTGCATGTGCTGCCATTTTGGTATCACCAGTTTGCTGCAGATGCCACTGCCTACAAGTATTTTTGGATAACAGTTGCCATCAGTCACTGCAGCATTGAGTGCAAGAACTAGAATGCAAGATGAAACTACAGTATAACACCCCTGGGAAATTGTCATCCAATTTCTTCCTAATTTCTTCAGCAAAGTAACCCAGCTCCCAAGGTAGTCAATTCCATTGACAAATAACTAATTCCATTACAAATATTTCCTAAAGCTTAACCAAAAGTTGTTTCCTTGCAATTTTTATTTCTAGATTCTGCCCCAGCTTGCTGGAGCAAGAGAATTAGTGCACTCAATCCTCCATGTGACCCCCTTCAGGTATTTGAAGGTTACTATGTTTAATTTTCTTTCCATTAAGCTAAAATACTGTTGAGTGTTCCAGCTGACCCATCCGAATGACCATCAATTGATTCATCACACCATAATTCTACTTTCCTTGGATTATCAAACCTCCCAAAAGAGTATGTGTTCCACTTATATTATTTGCATGTTAGTCACTTACCCTAACAGGCGGACTTCGTGCTTGTACTCTCTGTTGCTGGACACTTTGAGAACTCTGGAGATCTTTTGGAATGCAGTTAACAATAGTGCTAGTTTGGGCCCTTAATGAATTTGTGCAAGTCATTAAATTAATAGATTTCCGAGGCCTTTGTTTGATGCCATCTAGTAGTCGAACGAGCAAAATATTACTAGGAAGTTCATCAACACTGCAGTCTACTAACGTCCTGCATTCAGGACAACGAAGCTCATTGCGTGAACTCACAATGCCCAAGAGACATCGTTTACAAAATGTATGTTGACAAGGCAAGACTTTTGCAGAAGCATCCAGACGTTCTAAACAGACAGGACACTCTAACAGATCCAATAAGACCGACTCATCCATTTTATCTAGTTAACTGAGAAATAATTCATATTCTTTCTGAACATGTTAAGCAACTCATGTTATATCCATGCCTCTTCACTCTTCTTTCTGAAAGTTGTAAAGGGGAAAAAAAAAACATTAATAGCAACAGAAAATGGAGAAAGCCATTCCAACAGCAAAAGACTTTTTTCTTTCAAACAGCCTAACAAACCAGTAACCTTAAAAACAAAAGTTTTTGTAAACAAAAATCTTTTAAAAGTATTCTTGTCTAATGTGAAGTCCAGATTCATTGCTTTAATTATACATCTGGGGATATGATGTATGTCAGGAACAAGTTTTTATATTAGCTTTCTCTACAGCTTCTATAACAGTAAAATTTTGCACGCTAGGGGATGTAAAAGGACAAATCTTATTAGTGCCTCCTTAACTGACGTAGGATCATTAGGAGGGATTGTTGTGCCTTTCAAGAGAGGAAGTCAATATAATGGCCAAGATCACAGTATCATTAACTTTCAAACTCTCAGTTTACATAATCCACATTAATTACTGCTGCCACCAATCTTTATCTCTCTCCATATTTTCAAACTATGGAATTTAAGTCATTTTCCTTTCTATAACAAAATTTAAAATCTGTATGCAGTATGTTTAAATTCAATTTAAATAGGAAAACAGCTATGAAAAATAAATAGCTTGATCACCAAAATTTGGTACTAAAACAAAAAGAGATCCAATTACTAAAAGCAATATACTACAGTTAACAATTCTCTCTTAAAATTCACATGCTAAAATTGGAGAAGCTGACAGAAGCTAGTCAAACTTTCACCCAAGAGAAAAAGAAAGATGTGCTATGGTAGACATTATACTCCAATAAGCCATCAATATATTTATTAAAGAGTTCTGGTCAGAATTTCAAGAGCAATAGCTCACAAAAATCTAATCCCACTCAGCAAATGTAATTTTTCAGCAATCTGATCAAAAATTAAAATATTATTCTCATTGGCAAGGCTATTTTAAAGAGTAGATCCATTGTACAGACAGATGTTACTTAAATTATTTTCACAGCTATCCATTCTAAAATACATATACCAAAGATGAGACAGTAACAGAAGGTTCCTAGCACAGGATAACAGCCAACAGCCAACACAGAGACAAGAAGATGATGCCTGATGATTTGATTAGAAACATGATACTTCACGAAGAGTTCACTCCAAGGCCAAATAACTGAGGAAAACCCTTCAGCTGCTTCAAATGCATATAGGAAAAACGTTAATATTTTATTTCGGGTGAAGACAAAACAACAGGAACAACAATGGAACCAAACGTAACAGAAAGAAAGCCGTGCTTTTGAGACCTGGACAGTGTAAATTAAACATTATGGCTTCCCGTACGTGCTTAGGATGCGTTATAGAGATGTGCAGCTCAACATGCGACAGAGACGAAATCTGTCTCCATAAGCAAGAGGCGAGACAAGACTCTTCCTTTCCTTGGGAAATAGACGTATTGCCAGGAGACCGCTGGAGGGCTAATACGGTCTCTACCAAGATTTTAGTGGCGGTCTCTCGTTACCAAAGGCGGACGACCCGAAGGCAGGAGTCGCTAATACCGCACTAGACGCGGTGGAAAGGGAGTCATCCCTGGGGAGCGTCCCCACGGCCACTGCAGAGCCTTACTGCGGCCCGGGTGCGAAGCGTCGCTTCCAGGTACCAAGAGTCGGAGAGGACACTCACGATCCACATCACCTCCACTTCCCCTTTCCAGAACTCACCATCTCCGTGGCCGTTGGCGCGAGACGAGGAGTGCCCCCTTTCCCCTCAGCCCTCGCGCTTTCGCGCCTCTTTGTTCCCGCGAGGAGTTGCCGCCGCGCTCAGCCCCTCCGCCCCAGCACAGAAGAAGCTCCTCTCTGCGCTTCTGTTCTTTCCGCCCCTCCCTACTTCCTTCCTTCCTTTCCTCCCCAAAAGGGGGCTGACGCGGGAGGCCGCCCCGCCTGAAGGAAGGACCTGGCTCTGAGATGGAGGAGACGGACCGCGAGCAGGACTCTCGGCACGCAAGCCGTCCTTCCCGCCCGTCTGCTACTTCCTGGAACTCCCGCTTCCCTGGGCGGGAGGAGCCTGGGGTGCCTCCCGCACACGGCCCCCGAGAGGGAGACGACGGGGGGCGGGGAGCGAGCGAGGGTCGTGCTCCCTTTGGTAGACCAGCCGTCTCTCCCTTCCCTCAGAACATCCTGGCTCCCGCCCTTCAGCCGCCCCAGGCTAGTGCCTGGATCCGGCCCATCCGCTCGCCCACTCTTTTCCTTCAGGCGGCTCGGCGCGGCTCTCCTCTCCCTGCCTGCCTGCCTCCCTCCCTCCTCCGGTACAGAGTCCCTGTAGTTGGAAGCACTTCTGAATCTTTAGTCACTGCTGCTGGGAAAGGCTTCCCCGCCATTTCCGCATACTTGCTTGTCTCACCCCACTGGCTCAAGCATGGATCAGGCAAGCTGACAGCGTTTGGAGAGACTTTCAAGTGCACGGGCCCAGTAAGTAAGAGCCCTTTCCGAGTTGCCCTGCTATGCAGAGCAGAGCCGGAAGATCAGGTGAAATGCAGACGGATACACTCGGTGCCAAGAAAGCTTCATATTACCACCAGCATGGAAAATAAGAGAGAGGGGCCCTTAGTAGGAGAGATTCAGATGTAATCCTTTATTAAGAAAAGCACTGATCTGCTTTGGGTAGTAAGGACCAAAAGGCATGTAAGATACTGGGAACAATACCTCCAAACTGCTTTGGTCCTTATGAATGGCCATAGAATATATCACTGGGCTGTTCAATGGATTGCAAGGGAGGCAGCAGTCCAAATTCTGGGGTGCCCTTATGTGTGGAACAGTGCTGTGGGGCTTCTAGCAAACTTCCTCCACTGACTGATTTGCTGTGTTTTTCACTGTAGTTGTAGAATGGATGATTCCATATTGGGAGGCAGTCATGAAACAAATCAGGTCCTGGGCTCCCTTCCCCAAACAAAAGTGCTGCTGTGTCTTGTTTTCCCACATTCTTTTCTGCTGCTTGAGAGCACCTTTGCCGCATCCCCACAATTGTTTTTAAATTATTAAAGGAAGAATAAAGAAAGGGTGCTGCCTAATTGCCATTTTAGTGATCCTCTTAGCCAGCTGGTGGGAGTGCTGGGCAGCTCAAGGAAGGGAAGATGAAAATGCTTGCAGAGTGTCACATGATGACACAAAAATACTGAAAATTTGAGAAGTGGCTGTTGGCCATACGGAAGGGAAGGGTCACTGATAGGCATAAAATAATGGGTTATTACTACCCCTGCAAAAAATTTCAAAATAAGTGCCAGTTCCTTTTCTGTATTAAGCATGGGAAATTAGAACGAGTGTTTAATAATTCATGTTACAATCTATTTATTCAGGGGATGGGTCACTGAAGTTGACATAGCATTGGGTATTTAGAACATTCCTGATGACAAATCATGACTGCATCATTTCCATTTGCATGTATGTCTGAATTCAGAACTATACACGACTATCATAATACCCAGTGTGAGCCTTTTTTTTTTTTTTTGAGAAAGCAATCAATGCACTTGACTGAAAGAATCAGATAATGGTAGATAAGTAATAGAAGGATGGTAGAGAATGCAAAAATGCCATTGTATCCATATATTGTATGCTGTTCCTTTGGAATAGTGTCAATAGAGAGAGGAACCAAGTTCACCTCAGCTGAGATTTACTTGATGGACCAATGTTTGAGATTAGGAGTGAAGAATGGGCCTGAGACCTTTCTCCATTTTGAAATATACAGTGTACAAAATTTACAGTATGGTTGAAAGCTCCTTTGAATATAATTCATTGTGAACTACCTGAGTTTCACCACATTGTTTAGACTTCTAGGATTTCTATCCCCATGAAATCAGTGACAGGTCCTAAAAGCAATTAATTATATATTCCATGTCACATATTCCTAATATTATTTAAGAAATAAAATGGAAATCTGGGGATAAATTCAAACAATTTATAGTAAAATGGATTCAACCACTGAATAGGATAGAAAACAACACCCGTAATTAAATATGATTCATTTCTATATCTGTTTGAATGACTGAAAAACAAGGATAATGCAACATAAAACTCTGGTGTGGCTTGAAAAAGGATTTGTATTTTGATCTTTGACCTAAATAATCTTCATGTCCAACTAAAAACAACACACAGTTGCATGCAACAACTTAAGTTAAATTGTATGTTCAGTGAATCCCTATGTGAACAAAAACTGACACAACCTCTTCATGGTACAAAGTTAAACCCGACAAATTTCTACAAATTAGAAATTAACAATTTATGTGCAATTATGTAGTAGTAGTAGTAGTAGTAGTAGTAATAAAAAAAAAAAACTTCTGTGCCACATGCTGCCATCTTAGTTTATAGTGGGTGGAGGGAAACATACCCACCATGCCTTTGAACAGGCATTGACAATCACAAATCTAAAAATAGGGGAGCTGGCCTGTGAGGACAAGGGCATTTGGTTAGCAAGGCACAATGGACACAGGATAGAGGCTACAATCTGAAAGTCTAGTTTATGGGGCAAGGTGGTTGTTTTTTACACAGAGCAAGCAAGTTGGGGTCATTTGTAGGGGGTTAAACAGTGTCACATGAGAAGCACAACCAGGTGATTGAAGTCCTGCCCCTTTTTAACATGTCACATACATCACATGTACACAAAAAGGGGCCGAGTTTCAATTGTCCTTTATGCCTACCATTTTGACACTGGTGATTCCCTTGCAGATGCCCCCTGGAGCAAATACTATACTGTTTATCCTGCTTGTCAAAGGCTGGGGCGGGCACACCAGTGGTCAGTTACTGCTAGAAAGGTTGCACAAGAGATTGATTTAAAAGCAGAGATGCCACAGAACCAGAGTGATATAGTAGTAAGGAAATAAGGGGCTGGGAATCATTTGATGCTAAACTGTTAACTGTCATACTAACTACTACTGCTGAGGAGGAGCTCATTAGTTTTATTCCATGGGGGTGTCACATAGATTCTATTAAAACTGTAGGGGGTCCCAGCACCACAAACTTTGAGAATTCCTGCTTTACCTAATTGTAACTGTGTAAAAAATTTGAATACCTAAACAAAGTTAGTCTCAAACAGGAGGGATACTCTGTTACTAGAGTATTATTGCATTTTCCCAGTAATTTCAATTCGTTAGACCAGTATTTTTCAACCTTGGCAACTTTAAGATGTGTGGACTTCAACTCCCAGAATATGTGTGGACTCCCAGAATATGATTATCAGTAGCTAATTAGGATTTGGTATTCTGCTATATTCTAAAATTTACAAAACCTAGTTCTGTTATAACAAATCATGTTCATAATGAACAATTGCTTATTTGTAAGTCTCTGCTTACCATCAAATTACAATATTCCTTAATTCTATTCTCTCAAATTCAATGTTTTCCCCCGTTGTTCACTTTGAAATTTCTAGAAACCCTTTTAGATGACGACATATTTGTGTTTCCTTTTGTTTTTCTCCTTTTGCTAAATAATTCTTCACTGGGTTTTCACTCTATCAGTATTAAACATTTGGTTATGACTAATAATCCTTTCCTCCTTGTGGCAGACTTCTATTATCAGATGGATCAGTTTCTTACTATTTCCTTCCTTTCCACCCTATTTCTCACAGAATAACCCAACTTCATTGTTATAGATGTTCATCTTGTAATTATTATATAATATCCATCTATATGACAATTTGATATTGATGTTTATTTTACATAATTCCTAGTTGCTTTGAGGAACAATACGTTTTAAAACCATGTAAATGTGGATCAAAAAATGTTAGCCAGTTATATAACCACCACTCTGAAGATGGCAATGATAGAATCTCATTCCTCAGAAGAGTTAACAAGGCTACAGAAGCTACTGGAAAATTCATTCTGAAAAAGAATGTGATCCATAAGCAAGCCCATGTATTTATTTTATGAAAGCAAATATTGTCATTCAATGCATCCACAAAAGCTTTAAAAAAAAAAAAAGACTTGGAGCTCTTTGATTTGCCTGTAATCATAATGGCCATATTGTAAGTAGATACTTCAGTGCTTTTCTAAGTGGGAAAGTTTGTTTTTAAAACTAGTATCTGAAAACTATTCATCTTGGCTAAGTATATTTCACTTATATTGTTAATTCTATTTGAACATTGGCATTTGAACATTCTTAAGTACATGAACATTTTCTCTGAAAAAAAAGTAAAACATATTGTGAATGGCCTATGGGGTCTGACTTTTGGTATACCATTTGTGTGTGTGTGTGTGTGTGCGCACGTGCACGCGCATTCATTCATTCATGGTTCCACCAGAGTTTTAATTCTGATTGGTAACTACATTGCTTAACTAGACCATATGAGTTCAAAGCAAAAGTAATTATGTATTAACATAACTGAATGAGTGTGTGAATTATTTTTTAAAAAATAGACTCCTACATTTTAAGCAATTAGAAAACACTAAAGTTAAGCAGTGCAAAGGGAGTAAAATTTTATATACACTGTAGTTGAAACAGTGCTTAAATAATGACAAACCTTTTGGTAAGGCTATGTCTTCACTTTGAAAGAGAAATACTTAGAAATACATAATGAGTCTCAGAAATTAAGTCACATTCCAGAGATCATCTTTAGCTGATTTCTACAATAACCGAGCAATACAATAATTTTTAGGTAACAAAATCTGGGGGTTAAAGCTGGGAAACTTACATAGACTGAACCTCTTTAATATAACTGAAAGGCCAGGTTTTGGTGACCAGCCAGAAAAAGTACACAATGGATTACAAACATCCGGTAGGATTAGTTTCCTAAATGGGTTCCTATTTTGCATACATGCTACTTTAGACTCTCCCCGTACAAAGTGGTTTGCCTTGTTTAAAGCTGGGAAACTTACATAGACTGAACCTCTTTAATATAACTGAAAGGCCAGGTTTTGGTGACCAGCCAGAAAAAGTACACAATGGATTACAAACATCCGGTAGGATTAGTTTCCTAAATGGGTTCCTATTTTGCATACATGCTACTTTAGACTCTCCCCGTACAAAGTGGTTTGCCTTGTTTT